AAGGACGTGTGGCTGCTTTGGCAGTTGGACGGAACGGAACAGGTGGGCGAGAGAAGGCAGTAGCCGTGTATTACTGTTAATAAATAGGAGCGTAGAGCTATCTGGGCGCTCGATCCGGCGGGGCTTCGAAGTTCGTTGCTGACGGCCATTGGTGTAACGAAGTGGATCTCATCGGACGGACGCAGCGGAGAGCTACGCAACCCGCTCAACGAGCCGGGCAATATAACAGGTCCGCAACATGGTGGTCATACAGGGGCGCAAATATCAAACGAGAGTATGAGGTGCTATGACGAAAACGGCGATGATGAGAACGGCAACCAGGACGGTACGCGACCGACGAGTGGAACGGGCTGCTGAAACCGAACGAAAAGCCGAAGATAACGACGAGGACGAGTTGGGTCACAGTGTTCCAGCTGATGCAGACACAGCGAGCGAGCAAGGCGTACCTAGGATGCAGACTCGTAGCCAAGCAAGGCAGACGGAACCAGTAGCCGACGCACATAACCACGCCGACGCTAATGACGCTGAAAGGGATACACTAATGTGGCAACCCTGCAGCGTCTCTCTACTGAAGTGGCGAGGAAGCAAGGAGCACGTGGACGCCAGCGAGCGGCGCAACGAGGCAGACGGCAGTCAGGAGGACGGCGCGGACCCTGGCTGCATGTCCCGGAACCCCATCGACGGCCTAACGATGAAGCATTGAGCGACGACGATGAACGAGTACGCGCTCGGTACCGTGAGGAAGTGGAGCGGCGAGGACGTAGCCGTAGTCGTGCGGGTGGACGAGAACAAAGTAAAGCGAGACGTCACGGAGGAGAACGGCCCTACCGTAGGGGCGACGGGCGTTCGACTTCGAGGAGCGTTCGGCGTGGCTACTACTCACCGGATAGCAGTGGTTTTGAGTGATCGGCGGGAGGTGCTCGGCATCGACATGGACATGGTGATCCTGACCCCGGTGACAGTGATGACGGCGGTTCGGACGATGGGTACCAGAGCTCGGGAAGTGGCAATGATCGCCGACGGTCTCGCAGCGTATCTCGACGGCGGCGTGATCCAGGACGACGACATTAACGACACGAGCGAGGTGACCCGCGCCATCGGCAACCAGGAAGACTGAAGGATCTGGATCTCCCGACGTTTACTCCGTCACCGAGAGTATCTGTTTCCACATGGATTGATCGTGTGGATTTGGCTCTGGAGGGCGCCCGACGGTCTGGCATGGGCGAGTGGCCGGATCGAGCTCTGTATTTGATTATGGGAAACAAGTTAATGGAAAGCGCGGCTCGATGGTGGGTGAACATGGATCGACGACTTACCGCAAGGGAACGGACGTGGACGAACTTGAAACGTCAGCTTCTGCGGCGCTACGCACCACGACTTGCCTGGCAATGGCGGAATGGCGAGTGAGCTCGAGAACACTGGTGCCTGGCGAAACGTATGCGGAC